AAGATAAAATATTCCAGACTAGTGAACAAAAAGATTAGGAAAAAAAAAAAAAAAAGGACGGAAAAGAAGAGAAAATCCAGGAGGTCCAACATCCATGTAATAGGAGGTTCCAGAAAAAGTACATACAAAATCTGGACAAAATGAATCTATCAAAGAAGTTAAACACGTTCTAAGTACAGAAGATGTGAGGGCCATGAACTTTCAGTTCACAGGGACAGGTAAGTAGCCAGCACAGTGAACATAAGAACAGAAGAGAGACAAGAATAAAACAGTGAAACGAAAACAATGAAACAGAATCTACCATCATATCAAACAAAGTCCAGAAACTTTGCCCACAGGGAATGAGGGAAATTCTCACAATGTGTGAATCTACACAAGGAGTATGAGTTCCTGTGCAATTCTCAAAACTTCCCTGTACATTTGAAATTTGCTCAAAATAAAGCCTGAATAATAATGAGAGAACTCCATCCAGTCTCTTTCCTGCCAATAAAATGTTACATTGTTTGTAAGTGTAGCAATGGAAGCAAGTATCTTTGTACTGATCACAGGAAAAGATTATATAATGTGCTTACACTTGTAATAACTTTATGGAGATATAATTTATATGTCACATAACCCATCACTTAAAGAATATGATGGTTTTGTGATAATGATTACATTAGTTTAAAAAAAATTTCCACCTTAACTATTTGTAAGTGCCCAACTGAGCGGCACTAGTACTCACACGCAAATTCGGAAATCAGCACATTTTAATAGACCGGCCCCAACTCCTCCTTTCAGAGGAGAACACAAAGGCCGTCCTGGAACTCTGGCTGCCTTACGCTTCCCTCCCGCCCTTCACAACGATGCCCCAGATCCCACACCCATCTCACTGTATCACTGACGGACACCCATCACCACGTACGTGACAACAGCTGCCTGCCAGATGTCACAGCGTGGGGCAGGAAACGTCCACGAACACGTGCAGTACACATGGAGCAGGAGCTCAGGGAGCCCGGATGGGGTCCTGAAGTCCTAATGTAACCAGGATATTAAAGCCTAAAGGGCCCCCTCCATAGGCTCCACAAGCAGGAGCCCAGCAGGAAAGGTTCCCTCTGTCTTCTCAGTGCTGACCTCCGTTTTCGTGACATCACGCCCTGACCCTGTAGTCTCAGGAAGGCTAGACTGTAGTATTTGTATCTGATTACATCTCTAGAAATCATTCTGAGTTTTCTCCCTGAAGTCTTAATCTTCATCTCTTCTTGACTTTTATGGACAGCGAAGTCACTAAGCAGCCCCTTGCTTAAGTCACAATCTGCCAGGGAGAGTCATGGTCTATCTGCCAGTATCAGCTCCAACCAACTCCCCCGCTCCTCTCGACACTATACACCTTAGAGTCCACTTGAAAAATGCCACTTTAAGCGGAAAAGAAACAAAAAAGATTTAAGTGTGTAAAATAATTTAATGTGCGATACCGAAACGGCTAAGATTTACTGAGCATTTCCTAAGTGCTAGGCACCGTGCTTTCATCTGTACCTCAGTGAAGACTTGCCACAACCTCCAGGACAGGTATGGTCATTGTTTTCGTTTTACAGATGACGGAACTATAAGGTCAGAAACAATGAACAGCATTCAAGGCTCTACAGCTTGTGGAGGAGGGAACTGGGATTCAGCCCAGCCAGCCCAATTCCAGAATCCAGGTGGAATCCACTCTCTCCTACAAACAAACTCAGCGGAGTGCATGGTAACGTCGTTTTATAGACTCTATAAAGTGGAAGTTTAGGGAACGCCAGGGCTCACTACTTCTACTTCTTCTCCAGGACAAAAACTCTGAAAATTCTTCACCCTTGTTATCACACACGAGCCAAAAAGCAAGGACCCACTCAAACACGATGATGTCAGCAAATATGCAGGACAGACATGCACCAAATACATAACACTGAGATGAAGGGAGAACATAAATTTAAAAAGGTAAATACACCATTGAAGCAGAAGGAAAAACTACTAAACGCCAACAAAATCAGGTCTGTTCTTGGGGAGAAGGGAGGAGAGCACCCATACAGTCACAAGCCACGATGACGCTGGAAGGCCAGGAAGGTTCCTGGAGACCTGTGTGGCTTGGATTCAGGAAACAGGTACCATGGAGTTTGAACTGAGGTGCCTTGAAAATGTCAGCACCCTGCTCTGTTGTCAAGGTGCAATCAAGCAGAGGGCGCCCGGGCTCTGGCAAAAGGACAGATCTGGGCCCATCGCAGGTGCCAGCTGCAGGCGGGAGTGGATGTGCAGGGGCAGGGAGGACAGGAAGGAGGACAGTCACTTTCGTGGTGTCTTCTCTTCTACACGGCCCATCCACATCCCAAACAGGGCTTCAGCTGGCAAAGGCAGCAAGGGGAGAGGTGGCACGTGAAGGGTGGAGTGCGGCCAGCACTTCCCACCAACGCAGATTCAGGGATGACACAGGAGGTGACAAGTGAGCCATGGCACAGTCACCTATGAGAGTCCGGCGGGATGCACCGTCGGGGCTGATTCAGATGATTCTGAAAGGGAGGCAGCACGTGTGCAGCCCTTTGGGGGTCCAGAGTCCTCAGTCGGGAGGCCAGGCTCCTTCACGCACCAGCCGGCCACGTGATCTGGGAGAAGCACTTCGCCTCCTTGCACCCCGGCCTCTCCAGCGATACAGCCTTGCTGCTGCAGTACTACTCTTCTAGGCAGCATTACCAAGCACCAGAGAGGCCATGCACGCAGCGTACCTGGGATGCACAGGCACAGGAGAAATGGCAGCTGGCGGCTGATCTTGTGTGGGGAACCATCTCTCTGTGCTCTCTTCTCTGTGTCTCAAGAGTGGGGTGGGGGCAGCAGAAGCAATCTGAGGTCTCTCTCAGCGTGAGAGATCCACAAGGAGAGGTTCTTCCTCGATCTTCACCTCAGCATGCTCTAAGGCAGTGATCCTGCAGAGCTTTCAATGATGCAAACAGCCCACTGCGGCACGTGTGCCATGGGTTCGCCACCACTGCTTTCCTGCTCAGGCAACTCACCTCCATTTAAATCAGATGTGGTTGGCACAAATGTCTGGATTCTACATCTGCTTCTTCCTCCTCAAATACAGAGCTTTTCCTTCTGTGACTTCTTTTCCTTCCTATTTGTTGTATTTTACCTGTGCCGAAAGCCCCATGACCACAGGAGCCCTTACACCCAGTACCAAGTATAGTGCCTAGTGCTGC